GTTTATTAAAGTTTCCTATAGTTCTTTTGGTACAAATTTATTAATTTTTACATTAAAATAAATGAAAAAATATATCTTTAAACGTAACTGACCAGTTTTACCTATTCGGTACGACATATATATATATATATTATATATATATATATATATATATATATATATATATATATATATATATATATATATATATATATATATATATATATACATACATATATATACATACATACATATATATATATATATATATATATATATATATATATATATATATATATATATATATATATATATATAGGATGTATGTATTTACATACATATATACTGTACAATGTATTGAAGCTTACACATGGTAGTCACGTTAAAGCTTTTTCACATCGTGCTAGTCTTTTTAAAATGATAATCCTCTCAAACCCTTTTCCATGACGACACAGGTTTTAAATATGACCCTCTGATAGCTAGGAAACACGACAGATCATTCAGAAGTTGGCACCCGAAACTATGACAACCCCCTGTCTAAAAACCACGACTTCTCCCTTCAAAATACGACAACACTCAGATCAAAATACGACAACCTTCCCTTCAAAATACGACAACCTTCCCTTCAAAATACGACAACCTTCCCTTCAAAATACGACAACCTTCCCTTCAAAATACGACAACCTTCCCTTCAAAATACGACAACCTTTCCTTCAAAATACGACAACCTTCCCTTCAAAATGCGACAACCTTCCCTTCAAAATGCGACAACCTTCCCTTCAAAATACGACAACCTTCCCTTCAAAATACGACAACCTTCCCTTCAAAATACGACAACCTTCCCTTCAAAATACGACAACCTTCCCTTCAAAATACGACAACCTTCCCTTCAAAATACGACAACCTTCCCTTCAAAATACGACAACCTTCCCTTCAAAATACGACAACCTTCCCTTCAAAAACATGACAAACCCCTTATAAAATAGGATCAATACGAAAGCATGACAGAAACCATTCAAAAGATGACATTTATCTTCAAAACCATGATTCGCCCATTTAAAACTATAATAACCCCATTCAAAACATGACAACCCATTTCATATAAAAAAGATGGTTCCGTACTCTTCCATCACGCTGAGGCTCACCAGAATGAAGAGTAATGATTTCAACACTTTCAATTTGTGGAAACTCACGAGTGGAGAAATAGTTGTGATTGATTCCCTTTCAAGGACCTTGTCGCTTTTTTAATCTGGAACTCTCATCAGTGTAAGAACCTGAGGAGGAGGAGGAAGAGGAGGAGGAGGAGGAGGAGGAGGAGGAGGAGGAGGAGGAGGAGGAGGAGGAGGAGTGAGGGAAGGATTAGGAGGAGGAAGATAAAAAAGAGAAAAATAAGAAGGAAGAGTAGAAATCGAGGAAATAATAGAAGGGGGGAAATGAGGAAGAAAATAATAAGGACAAAGAGGAAGAGAATAATGAAAATGAGAGCAGGAGAGGGAAGATAATTAAGAGTAAAAGGAAGGAGTATGAGGAGGAAGTTTAAGAGGTGAAAGAAGGTGATGTTTACACACAACTTTGATGATAAGATCAGACATGATGATCAACATTCATCGATGCCTCAATTTTACTATTTCTAAGACTCTTGATTTTGCTGATTCAGGAGTTCTGGATTTTCCCCGACTCTTGGATTTGTCAACTATTGAATTTCCGGATTCATGAACGCGTAGATGCCAAGACTCAAGGATTTATAAGATCTGAAGGATTCCCGAGGCTCACCGACATGTAACAATGAGGTTGAAAGATGTTCTAACATGAACTACGAGAATGCTGTACCAGGATGTTACAGTATGAACTACGAGAATGCTGTACCAGGATGTTACAGTATGAACTACGAGGATGATGTACCAGGATGTTACAGTATGAACTACGAGAATGCTGTACCAGGATGTTACAGTATGAACTACGAGGATGATGTACCAGGATGTTACAGTATGAACTACGAGAATGCTGTACCAGGATGTTACAGTATGAACTACGAGAATGCTGTACCAGGATGTTACAGTATGAACTACGAGAATGCTGTACTAGGATGTTACAGTATGAACTACGAGGATGATGTACCAGGATGTTACAGTATGAACTACGAGGATGATGTACCAGGATGTTACAATATGAACTACGAGAATGCTGTACCAGGATGTTACAGTATGAACTACGAGGATGATGTACCAGGATGTTACAATATGAACTACGAGGATGATGTACCAGGATGTTACAATATGACCTACGAGGATGATGTACCAGGATGTTACAAGATGAACTACGCGGATGATGTACCAGGATGTTACAAGATGAACTACGAGGATGATGTACCAGGATGTTACAAGATGAACTACGAGAATGATGTACCAGGATGTTACAAGATGAACTACGAGGATGATGTACCAGGATGTTACAAGATGAACTACGAGGATGATGTACCAGGATGTTACAATATGAACTACGAGGATGATGTACCAGGATGTTACAAGATGAACTACGAGAATGATGTACCAGGATGTTACAAGATGAACTACGAGGATGATGTACCAGGATGTTACAAGATGAACTACGAGGATGATGTACCAGGATGTTACAAGATGAACTACGAGATTGATGTACCAGGATGCTACAAGATGAACTACGAGAATGATGTACCAGGATGTTACAAGATGAACTACAAGGATGATGTACCAGGATGTTACAAGATGAACTACGAGATTGATGTACCAGGATGCTACAAGATGAACTACGAGATTGATGTACCAGGATGCTACAAGATGAACTACGAGATTGATGTACCAGGATGCTACAAGATGAACTACGAGAATGATGTACCAGGATGTTACAATATGAACTACGAGGATGATGTACCAGGATGTTACAAGATGAACTACGAGGAAGATGTACCAGGATGTTACAAGATGAACTACGAGAATGATGTACCAGGATGTTACAAGATGAACTACGAGGATGATGTACCAGGATGTTACAAGATGAACTACGAGGATGATGTACCAGGATGTTACAAGATGAACTACGAGAATGATGTACCAGGATGTTGCAAGATGAACTACGAGGAAGATGTACCAGGATGTTACAAGATGAACTACGAGGATGATGTACCAGGATGTTACAAGATGAACTACGAGGAAGATGTACCAGGATGTTACAAGATGAACTACGAGGATGATGTACCAGGATGTTACAAGATGAACTACGAAGAAGATGTACCAGGATGTTACAAGATGAACTACGAGGATGATGTACCAGGATGTTACAAGATGAACTACGAAGAAGATGTACCAGGATGTTACAAGATGAACTACGAGGAAGATGTACCAGGATGTTACAAGATGAACTACGAGGAAGATGTACCAGGATGTTGCAAGATGAACTACGAGGATGATGTACCAGGATGTTACAAGATGAACTACGAGAATGATGTACCAGGATGTTGCAAGATGAACTACGAGGATGATGTACCAGGATGTTACAAGATGAACTACGAGGATGATGTACCAGGATGTTACAAGAAGAACTACGAGGATGATGTACCAGGATGCTACAAGATGAACTACGAGGAAGATGTACCAGGATGTTACAAGATGAACTACGAGGATGATGTACCAGGATGCTACAAGATGAACTACGGGGAAGATGTACCAGGATGTTACAAGATGAACTACGAGGAAGATGTACCAGGATGTTACAAGATGAACTACGAGGATGATGTACCAGGATGTTACAAGATGAACTACGAGGATGATGTACCAGGATGTTACAAGATGAACTACGAGGATGATGTACCAGGATGTTACAAGATGAACTACGAGGATGATGTACCAGGATGCTACAAGATGAACTACGGGGAAGATGTACCAGGATGTTACAAGATGAACTACGAGGAAGATGTACCAGGATGTTACAAGATGAACTACGAGGATGATGTACCAGGATGTTACAAGATGAACTACGAGGATGATGTACCAGGATGTTACAAGATGAACTACGAGGATGATGTACCAGGATGTTACAAGATGAACTACGAGGATGATGTACCAGGATGTTACAAGATGAACTACGAGGATGATGTACCAGGATGTTACAAGATGAACTACGAGGATGATGTACCAGGATGTTACAAGATGAACTACGAGGATGATGTACCAGGATGTTACAAGATGAACTACGAGGATGATGTACCAGGATGTTACAAGATGAACTACGAGGATGATGTACCAGGATGTTACAAGATGAACTACGAGGATGATGTACCAGGATGTTACAAGATGAACTACGAGGATGATGTACCAGGATGTTACAAGATGAACTACGAGATTGATGTACCAGGATGCTACAAGATGAACTACGAGGATGATGTACCAGGATGTTACAAGATGAACTACGAGGATGATGTACCAGGATGTTACAAGATGAACTACGAGGATGATGTACCAGGATGTTACAAGATGAACTACGAGGATGATGTACCAGGATGTTACAAGATGAACTACGAGGATGATGTACCAGGATGTTACAAGATGAACTACGAGGATGATGTACCAGGATGTTACAAGATGAACTACGAGGAAGATGTACCAGGATGTTACAAGATGAACTACGAGGAAGATGTACCAGGATGTTACAAGATGAACTACGAGGAAGATGTACCAGGATGTTACAAGATGAACTACGAGGATGATGTACCAGGATGTTACAAGATGAACTACGAGGAAGATGTACCAGGATGTTACAAGATGAACTACGAGGATGATGTACCAGGATGTTACAAGATGAACTACGAGGATGATGTACCAGGATGTTACAAGATGAACTACGAGGATGTTATGAACTGAAGTAAAGAATAATCGTAAGGCAACGGCCGCAGGTTCGTAATTTTTTATTCGATCTGAAGTGGTTATTTTTCTTGGCTAAATATTTCTCCGCTTGTTAACTGATTTAATGGGATATTATGAGTGTTCTTATCTGTCTAGGTAATAAGTTCCCAGAGGTGCTACAAGCAAGACGCTATTTGTGAGGGCAATGATTGACATAACTTGACATACGAGATTTGATAAAGCAGCTAATGGTACACCGAAGACTGTTTAAAATGAGAGACACAAGAACGAAGGAACATATAGAGAAACAAGTAACAGGGATGATGGGAAACACTTCTTATTCTGTATGCTTTCCTTCACTTCTTCCCTCTCTACCTCAACCACTCCTTCCCTCCCTTCTGTCTTTCCTCCCTCCCTCACCTTCCCCACCACTCAACACGCACATAGCCTCCACTCTTATCAGTTCCCGTACAAGACTTGTACTCCCCCCCCCTCTCCAAACTCTTCGTTTAACCTCCCACTCTCCTGCCCCTCATCTACGCCTTCCCCCTCCATTAACTCCCTTTACCCTCCCTTGTTTTGATTTGTCCCTGCCCTCCTCCTACACTAACCTCTTACTTGCTCGTAGACAGCAAGAACCTCAGGGTTACCTGTCTATTATCTGAAGTCTACACAAGGGATCATCGTCCCCGCGGCTCGTCCCTGTGAGGACTCTTGGTTAATAAAATGATCAATCAGGCTGTTTGTTCTATCTAGGCTGGAGTATTGCTGCACACTAACAGCACCTTTCAAGGCAGGTGAAATTGCCGACCTAGAAAATGTACAGAGAACTTTCACGGCGCGCATAACGGAGATAAAACACCTCAATTACTGGGAGCGCTTGAGGTTTCTAAACCTGTATTCCCCGGAACGCAGGAGGGAGAGATACATGATTATATACACCTGGAAAATCCTAGAGGGACTAGTACCGAACTTGCACACGAAAATCACTCACTACGAAAGCAAAAGACTTGGCAGACGATGCACCATCCCCCCAATGAAAAGCAGGGGTGTCACTAGCACGTTAAGAGACCATACAATAAGTGTCAGGGGCCCGAGACTGTTCAACTGCCTCCCAGCACACATAAGGGGGATTACCAACAGACCCCTGGCAGTCTTCAAGCTGGCACTGGACAAGTACCTAAAGTCAGTTCCTGATCAGCCGGGCTGTGGCTCGTACGTTGGTTTGCGTGCAGCCAGCAGCAACTGCCTGGTTGATCAGGCTCTGATCCACCAGGAGGCCTGGTCACAGACCGGGCCGCGGGGGCGTTGTCCCCCGGAACTCTCTCCAGGTCCAGGTCTCACACACACTCCAACGAAGGCATCACAACCAGCCTGATCAGGAACAGCCTTAGAGGTACTTACCGTATTTCCAGCATATAAGGAGCACTTTTTTCCGCAAAAAGACTTGGAAAATCAGCCTGCGCCTTATATGCTCAACGCTCAGCGGTTGTTAACTAACGTAACGTTACAACTGCTTGCAAACATCGTCTTATACATTTCATATGATCGTGCGCCTTATATGCCGGAAAACGCAGTATCCAGTTCCCTCTTGAAATAAATTCTATGACATTTCCTCTGTTTCTTCTTTACAAATTTCTTGTACTAGTGCCATTCTTCTAGGTCATTCACCTGTTTATTTTCTTCCTATTTGCCCCACTCCTGTCAGTTACCTTTCTAATTCCTATTTTTTTTCCACTCATTTTCTACTATGTTGTTCCTTGTTCTCTCCGTCTCTTGTTTCTCTCACTCACTCTTTCCTCTAGTCTCTTTTTCTTTCTATTCTACGTATTCCTTTGCAACTAACCCATTTCCCTATTCTCGTTCATCTCCCTCCCTTTTCTCATACACACACACTACATCTCTTTCACCCTCCCTCCCTCCTCTCTCTCTCTCTCTCTCTCTCTCTCTCTCTCTCCCTGCTGGTTTCAGCATCAGTCAGTCAGGTCACGCAGGGTCCGTGACAACGACAAACGAGTCTCTCTGCCATTGACGATAGACACCACTCCCACACCACCAACACCTACCCCGCCACCTACCACCAGACCACCTACCACCTAGTAGATGTTGAAGCAGTGGTGTTGTTGGTGGCGATGGCTTGTTTGCGTTCTTCCGTGTGCAGTATAGCCATAAAGATGGGGAACCTTGAAGGAGTATTACCAACGCGCACCTTGTCTAATACCTCACTGGGTATCAATATTGTCCACTTTTATTCTCGCTGAATTTTTTCAAGCGCAGTTTTATCCTCAGTGAATTTTAACGACTCTAGTTATTCCTCTGAATGAATCTACCTGGACTTCCTACTCATTTCTACTACACTGCAAGCGCCTGAAGATGTTGATTGCAACACGAAAGGCCTAAAGCTATCATTCAACTTCCCCCATGGTTGTTTTGCATCTTGTATCGCTTGTTCGCGATTACTGCATTATAACATATATACGCAGCAGTGTATATATGCTACGGTGTACCATATATACTACGTAGACACAGTATACACCTGTTGATGTATACTACGTTTAATCACTAATTTATCGCCATTAATGCTATGGAACCTAATATATTACATCATTGATGGTTATTTAGAATAGAACATAAACCTCAGACTGACCCACGACAGCCATTGATGATTAAGACACGTGTACAGCAGTTGGGTATCTGTATTGTTGAAACGTTTCGCTTGCACAGTAGGCTGTTGCCTCTATATTTGACTGAGGAAGTCTACTGTGTAGGTGAAACGTTTCATCAATAAAGATACCTAACTGTTGCACATGTGTCTTAATCATCAACTTGTCAGTATTTTATACCATTTTCAAGGCAACCATCATTATTGACCTCCATACCTGGGGTCAACGCCCCCGCGGCGCGGCCCCAGACCAGGCATCCTGGTGGATCAAGGCCTGATCAACCCCGAGGTTATTGCTGGCTGCATGTAGTCCAAAGTGCGAACCACAGCCCGGAAATGATTCCAGAAACTTGTCCAGTTCCTTCTCGAAGACAGAGGCTGGTTGGTAATTTCCTTATGTACTCAGGGAGGGCGATGAAGAGTCGGGACCCTCGGACACTCAATGAGCTCTCGGTGCACTCGTCGTGCACCTTGCGTTATTTTTAATGGAGGTATTAGGCACTATCTCCCAAGTCTCTTGCTTTCATTAGACGTGATTTCAGTGTGCTGGTTTGGAGTATACCTAAAGGTTTCACTACTTCAACTACTCGTTAAAAATTTATGCCCAAGGATTTCACTCCTTCAAATGCTCGTTAAAAATTTATGCCCAAGGATTTCACTCCTTCAAATGCTCGTTAAAAATTTATGCCCAAGGGTTTCACTCCTTCAAATACTCGTTAAAAATTTATGCCCAAGGGTTTCACTCCTTCAAATACTCGTTAAAAATTTATGCCCAAGGGTTTCACTCCTTCAAATACTCGTTAAAAATTTATGCCCAAGGGTTTCCTTATTTTATTTTCAATTTCTTACGACGGTATTAATACATCCTGATCACAATATTTATAAATAGACAAATGTTTTAAACATTCATAAGTAAGGATGTTGGCAGAGAGATGAGCTTAATGTTTCCTACAGTTAAAACGGGTAAGAATTTATTTAAAGTTCTTTGCTGTATTAGTTCCAGCATAAACTAAGTCTGAGCCTTGAGAATTATCCTTCTCAAGGCTGAGGGACCGACCACCTCATAATTACTTCTTCAAGACTGACTGATCACCTCATTACTTACCTCTCCACTGCTTTCCTTGCCTGCGATATTTAAGTCATCACTGTATTAGACTGAAGAATGTAGATAAATGGTTTAGAGAACCGACAAGTTGATAAATTAGACACATGTGTAACACCTGGGTATCTTTATGAAAACGTTTCGCCACACAGTGGCTTCATCAGTCCAATACAAAGAAGACGGGTAAAGATCAGAAGGAGTTTGAGGTAATTAGTCCCTCAGCCTGAAGTCATAAACTCCTTCTGACCTTCGCCACTCTTCGTTATGGACTGATGAAGCCAATGTGTGGCGAAACGTTCCCATAATAAAGATACCCAAGTGCTGTACATGTGTCTAATTTATAGACTGAATAAGCCTGCTGAGCAGGCGAAACGTCGTGACGATAAAGATACCCAGCTGATGTACATGCGTCTTACCCATCAAAGTAATCGGTTAAATCACCAGACTGAGAAAATGGCTTTATTCCTTAAGTATGAATCTTGTTAGGATTTTCTTAGTTGTTTTCCGTAAGACATAACTCATAATAACGTTTAACAAGACGTCTAAACTTCTTTGCTTATTATTTTGTTGGGTTTAACATTCTCGAGCACTTTTGATGTGAAGCAACAGACTTCAACGGCAAGGTTAACAGAGATTACAGGTTAACAGACAACTAAAAGGTTAAATTTCAGTGACAAGCTTAACATTCACTTCAACAAGTTTAACACTGTTATCTATTACAAGAAAATAACAAGATAACACTGTTATCTGCAAGAAAACAAACCGAACACTGTTACCTGCTACAAGAAAACAACTATAAGACTGGCACTATAAGACTGGCACTATAAGACTAGCACTGTAAGACTGGCACTATAAAGACTGGCACTATAAGGCTAGCACTATAAGACTGGCACTATAAGACTGGCACTATAAGACTAGCACTATGGGACTGGCACTATAAGGCTAGCACTATAAGACTGGCACTATAAGACTGGTACTGTTTAATTCACTTTGAGCTCTCGTTAAGACTCTGGTTAAAAGGAGCACTTGTTGCCTTTCAGCTTTCTCTTATACCTTGACTAACTGAGTGACGAGCAAGCTAAGAGTGAACTCTGACTGGCCAGTAATGAAGCCACTTCAAAGTGTTGACTGGTTGCAGTCATCAGGGCGTCCTGCCCTCGTTAATGGCTGAATACTTTTTCTTGATGCGATAGTTATCGATGAGCTGTGGGGGGTTAAATGAGGCAGGTAGAAAGAGAGGAACAGAAAAGAGGGAGAAAAGGAGGGGTAGGAGGGAAGAGGGAGGGAGGGAGGGAGGGATGGGGGGAGGGATGGAGGGAGGGAGGGAGGGAGGGAGGGAGACAGACAGACAGAGAGAGAGAGAGAGAGAGAGAGAGAGAGACAGAGACAGACAGACAGACAGAAGGGGGAGTAAAGGGAAGAGACAAGTAGTAGTAACTGCACATTAAAGACCTAAGGAGAATCTCTCTCTCTCTCTCTCTCTCTCTCTCGCTCACACA